TGCTTGGCCTGCTGTGTTCATCCAGCTCTACACCTTGTTATCTCAGATTCTACAGCATCTGCAGTTCCTACTATCTCTGAATATGTGATAGATATTACTTTCTCCCAAATATTCACGCCAAAACCCATAAGAAAATGATTTCTCCAAATAGTTAATCAAATTAAAGCAAGCATATTGAAACACAGCAGATGGAAGTTTATTTGAAGTTGGTAACTCCAGCAAGAGTCCTAACAGACTTAACACATGTCCAGCTAAGACAGATCAACCAACAGATGTGAACAGTAAAAATAACTGCATAAGTGAGATGAGGTTACCTTATTGTACATTGCTCTGGCCAGACCATATACCACGTTCAGTTCTCACCATTCATGGGGTGAACTTCATCTTCAGGTCCTTCCATAGTACAGCCACGAAACTTACCAAATGCCTCAAAATGCAAAACTTTCCTGTCCACAGAAAGCAGGACACATCTAATTTGGCTAAATACAGTTCTACAAGCTGCTTAACATGTGAGCAAAGCAATAAAAGGGAATATCAGCAGTATTACCAAGTGGTCCTTACTAATTAACCCGGTCTCTGACAGACTTTAGATTTTGAAAGGACCACTGTTCCACACCTGAGTCTTGGTTCAACATAAACAAAAGAGCTGAATTTCAGTGGTGAGGGTAGTGTGGCAACCCTTGACAGCAAGCCACAAATAGTTGCAGTATGACATGAAGGAGCCCCAGTAAAATTTAAGTCAATGGGTAATCAGGGGCAGAACATTCTACTGGTTGGTCATACCTCGCATAAAAATGACTTTGGTTGCTGGAGGACAATCACCACAGCATCATTACAGGGATTCCTCATTGTAATATCTCAAGTTCAAACACCTTACCTGTTTCAGTAGTGGCCTTCCCTTTATCACACTAAACCCTGGGTGGGAATGTTCACTGATTGCACACTGTTCAGTTTGATTTCTCAGATAATGACGTAGTTTATGCTCACATGCAAGAAGACCTGGACAATTCATGCTTGGGCTACTAAATGGCAAGTAACATTCATGCCAAGCAAGCTTAAGCACCTCCCCTTTAGGCTCAATGACACTACTACTGCTAAGTCCCCCACTATCCACATTCTGGGTCAGTCACATAAATACTGTGACTAGGAAAGCAAGACAGAGATTCGGAATTGTGACTCACTTTCTGCCTCAAAACTTGCCCACCATGAACAAAGCACAAATCAAGATGTAATGGATTAGTCTCCACTTAGTTGTATGAAGTGCAGCTCCAATAACACTCAAGTAGCTCATCATCATCCCGTATTACATAGCCTGCTTGACTGGCATCATATCCACCACCTTAAACATTCACTCCATTCACCTCAGGCAGATGCCGTGTAGATCAGTTAGAACTAGATGGACTCGAGCAACTCACCAAGGTCTCTTCAACAACATGTTCCAAACGTGAGACCTACAGAACCCAAAGTCAAACACAAAGCCCTGAATTTAAGTTTTGTTTTGAAAGTTAAAAAAATCTATAGAGAAATAGGTGCACATGAATTTACAAGGAACATTTATGAATGTCAACTGGCAGAACTGTTATTTTGTAGTGCCAAAAACTTGTTTGCGTTCAATTTTGCTGCTATGCTAAAGTGGTAATTGGTGTATTAAAGCTTCTGATATAAATACACATTATGCTTATTTTTATCCAAAAATTTTGCATAACAAATGCGCTCACTCAATACCTCACTGTCATTGTCAATGAAAAATGCAAAGTCAAAGCTCAGAACATTTTGTACTATCATCTTTTACATGCATATTTGGCTCCAACTATGCTAACCATAGGTGAGGCAATGGCATAGGAGTATTATCACTAGACTATTAAAACTCAGCGAACGTTCTGGGGACCTGGATTCAAATCACGCCACGGCAGATAGTGGAGCTTGAAATCAATTAAAAAATTGGAACTAAGAATCTACTGATGACCACAATTCTTGGAAAAATCCATGTGGCTCACTAATGTCCTTCAGGGAAGGAAATCTGTCATCCTCACCTGGTCTGCATGCCACTCCAGATCCACAACAATGTACTTGACTTAGCTGTCCTCTGAAATGAACTGAGCCACTCAGTTGGGAGATGCTAGGGACAGGCAATAAATGCTGGCCAACTGGCAATGCCCAGGTATCGCGAATGAATAAAACAAAACTGAAGCATTAAGGGAGCTGTGCTCATGTAGCCTCACTGTTTCAAACTTGGAGCGCTGAGACAAATAAATGTTTCTTGATTATTTAAGATAATCTATTCTACCTAGTTTATCATTTAGTGTTAATTATTTTGTCACTTTCAGGTTTATCTATATTCCTTTACCTTTTTTTGAAATTAAGTACCAATTTTATATATACTAGAGAAAACTATAAGGCAAGTCTAAATGATGGAGAACCAAAAAGATGGCTCATATCCAAATTGAACCTTTGCTATTTCTCTCCTTTTCAGTCAGATATATTTTCATTTTAATACACTGTACTACTCTTCAAACCTTACATCAGATTAATGAGAAATACAAATACTCAACATAGATCAAGTTTAATTCCTATAAAACACACATTTAAAATTCAAACTTAAAAATGAAAACTTATGCTGAACAAAATCTAATATCTTGTGATAAATATACATGAAAATATAATTATAAAACATGGAAACCTGTGAAGATTTTGACCTACGCTTCTTTGCAAGAAGTGGACAAATAACTGGAAGTAACTAAACTAATTGGCAGCAACTGCCAAGAGCAGCAGCTTTTTCAAAATTGCATTCCACTGAATTCATAATTTATCTATACATCCCCATTAAAGTTTTCAGAGTTCACCTTATTAAAGTTCACTACTAAACTGTTAAAATCCTCAGGTTATGATTTACAACAAAGAAAATGTGTTTCCAAAATGTTATTTTGATAAAAGTTAATTTGATTTATTTATATTTCCATCCTGTCCACCAGCTGTACCTCCATTCTTCACTATTGTGCTCTCCACCATTCCAGTCAAATATTAGAGATAAATAACCAGCACTTAGATCTTTGGCAATTACACCTAAAAGTGTGACTTGTCATTTAAAAAAAAAGTTTTTGTTCTACTCCAGATAATTTTTAGCTGAATTAGAGAAATCACTGTACAGGGTGAATATCAAGGACAAATTGCATTCTTAATGTGAACTTTGAAAAATATACATAGCAAATGCCTGCAAAATAAGAAGAAAATCTTTTTTAAAAAAAATTTGTACATAGTCTTGTTTAGTCTAAACTACAGAACTATTGACAATTCAAAAATGTGGTAGAAATATTAAAATGCTCAAACTGTGGTCAAGTAATATGCAGCAATGCTACTCCTTTGTGAAGGCAAAGGCAGCCAATCTTGAATTTGTGGATACATGCTGTTGTTTCTGTTTCTTTGCCAAGCTTCCAGGTGCTTCAGAGTTTTCATCTGTGTTTTCTAGGTCATCTTCACGAAGCTCTTCTACACGCTTGCGTTTTTGAACCTCCTCTGCATCAGGTATATTGTCGATGCTTCCACTTCTTTTAGCTTTCTCCGTCCAGGCCTGGAAGTAATATCATCAACAAGAATAATTTAAATCTGGACTGCTGGATGGCTTTGCAGTTTGGGACATCATTCAACACTATTCTGAAGCCACTCAAAAGAGTGGACACTCCACTTAAAAGGGGCATTTGAAATGTAACCTCATGCATGGAAATAATTGGAGTTAACATGCCTGAGGGTTTACAAACTATGCGTGCATTCCTGGTTACACTAAGAAGACTGAAAGGCATAAAAATACATCTGATTAGTGGGGCAACACTACAAAATCATGAGACATTTTTTCCCCCCACATGTTGGACCAGGCAACAGGAGATATTAGGAAGAAACGTATGGCTGAAAAAAATTGTGTACGAGAAGCTGGAGGCCTTAGATGAAGTAAATATGATGTAGGCAAAAATTTAAACTAGTTGTGAGGAATGGGTGAGGGAAATCCAAGAGTTAAAAAGTTGAGGAAAACCAATAGTACATATTATAGGTACTATTATGTTTTAGGTAAGAATTCTGTGTTCAAATTCATGTACCACAAGAAATAAGACATGCTAAAAGCAAAAATCCTGCTAAATATTGTAATGTAGCAGCCATTACACAGACTACAACCCAAGCATTACTGGGAGCAAAATGTCCCAATCAAAAAACATCAGCATTGACAGGAAGATACACACATATTAACTATAGAAGCAAGGGACCTTAGTGATCAGTGTGCGAAAATATTATATGTAGGGTTAAGGAATAATGAAGGATGCATGACTTTATTAAGAATTATTTACACACTTCATGATAGTAATGATGTGCTGGTGAAGTGAAGGGCCCAGGAATTATCACAAAGACAAGCAGTCAAAAACGAGAACGAGTGAACAATTAGCGTATTGAATATTGGTTTCTGACTCCCCCATCTGTCATTCAAACTTAAGCCTTTAAATTAAAAAGAAACAAACCTCAGAAGGAGAAATCAATCAATCACAGTAAACTTCAACTGAACTGTTAATAAGTAGAACTACAGACAAACAGATGAAGCAACTGATTAAGTATGGCACTAGGGAGCTCGGATAACACTGACATAAATGGGAACTGGGGGGAAATTTCCATCAGCACAAAAAGGACAAACCACAAAGGCTGTGATTTTTGAAGACCAATCATCTTAACCTCAGGACATGTTTGCAGTTATTTCCTTAGGATAGTGTCCTAGGTTCAAACATCTTCAGCTGTTCTTTCAATGATCTTCCATCATCTGTAAGGTCACAATCTTTGATGACTACAACAAGTACTGATGCAATCTGTATTCACACCCAGCAAAACCTGGACAATATTTAGACTTTAGCTTATAAGTGTCAAATAACATTCAAGCCACAAAATGCCAGACAACAGCCAACAAGAGAGAAGACACAAGGGAGAACCTCTTATTGGCATTCAATGGCAATTTAACATTGAATTCCCCCACTGTCAACATCCTGAGGTCCCCACTGATCAGAAATTTAACTGGATGAGCCAAGCAAATGAAGTGGCTGTAAGAACCGGTCATTAGCTGGGAATTCTGTGGTAAATGACTCACTTCATGTCTTTCCAAAGCCTATCTACTACTAATAAAGCACAAGTCAGGAGTGTGATGGAATACCTTCTACTTGCCTGCAACTCCAAAAAACATTCAAGAGGCTTGAAACCATTCAGTACACAGCAGCCCATTTGGTCAGTACCTCATCTACCACCTCGAAATTCATTCCATACCAGTGGCACACAGTGGTGCAGCAACTTGTCAAAGCTCTTTTTACAGTATCTTCGAAAACACAACCTTTATCATCTGGAAGAACAAGGGCTTCAGGTGCATGGGAACAACAACACCTGGAACTGTGGGATTTGATTCAAAAATCAGCCATAGCCCACAAGGAACTGCAGGCATCTCTCTCCGAGTTTCTGGATTATTGGTCTAATGATAATATCATAGTCCATTGCTGCTCCCTTCCCTAAATGGTCTTGAAAAAGTTTCACTTCTTGAACCGCTGCAGTCCATGAACTGCAAGTACATCCACGATGCTATTAGGAAAGGAGTCCCAGGTTTTAGTCTTGGCATCAGTGAAGCAACTGCCTTATCTATGGTTTTACTCCAAGACCTGTCACAATCAGGTTTTGGAGTAAAGCAATAGAAAGGCAATTGTAGATGTCTCAGTCATACCTTTCCAAAAATTCTGCATGTTTAAAGAGAATATTTTAAAGGGATGCCCTTGCATCTATGGTTTAAAATTACAATTTACAGTTTCCTTTATGATTTTCCTTTGTGTAAATATTTTGAGTCATGAATCACTGGGTTTAATTGCAGAATTTCTGCAAATGTTGAATGACGTAGGTTTGTTCATTAATTTTTTTTTTCTTTTTCAGATAGCTGATTCCCAATCAACTGAAAACAAAGCAGCTGCACTGAAAATTCCATTACTCCATTTTCAGAAGCAAATAAAATCAAACATGAAACATCTACTTGGCTGGTTGCCCCTCAATCTCTGACTCAGCTTCAATTGGAATTCCTAGTCCACAGCTTTAAGACTTTACCTCAAATTCATTTCAAATTCAAAGCACAAACCCTGCAGTGAAATTTCACTCTCCAATGTTATCCACCAATTAAGTAAACCTAAATAGATTTATTTCGGCACCTGTCAATCCTGCTTAAATAACATCTCGTCTGGTCACAAAGAAATAAAATCAATACTACTAAATTTACATAGATATGATTCCTCAGCAACAGCCACTTCACATCTATTCAGGTGTATTTTGTTTTGTAGTCTGTGAGCAGTACAATCAAAATCAAGTAGTGCTGGTGACGACAGTTTCCCCATTTTATTTCTGCTAGACTTCCCAGTATTGATCAAAATAAATCTCAGCAGCACACGCACGTTAACACACATATTTTTTCTATTAATATTGTATTTTGTATTAATTTAACTTTATTAAAACCTGTAGATTTAAACTTCCAAATTCATGATAAATGCAGGATTGTTGAGATGCATTGGTTTTACTGCAGATTCAAATATCTATTCACTGTACCAAACAGGTACTTGTAGAATAGGTGCATTTTCTTCTACCATGTCTAACCAATGCAAAGGAGTAATCAAGATTAACTGAACAGTAAACTATATAACCAAACCAGTAGAATATGTCAAAGGTATGACTATAAATTATTTTACCAAGCATCTGCTTTCATTTGAATGCAAAGGAAATAGGTTGCACTGATTAAAAACATTTGAAAATTAAGAAATTGTTAACATCAGACAAAAATGTTATGAATCGTAAAATAAAAATGGAATATTAAAAATGCTAAGAACTAAATTCCAGGCTTGAGTGTTCATACCTTCCTCTCCTCAGAAGACAGGACTCGAAATCTGTTCATGCCTTCCTTAATTATTTCTTCTTCTGATAAACTTGGACTTTCAGCAACAATATCTTCTCTGCTTTCTTCCAACCACAGCTGGAATCCTGTCTTCTTAGGCCTTTTTACAAAGGAAAATCATTATTATTGCATTTCAACAACTATTGTTCATTAATCTCACCATTCAATTGTTAGAAATTATAATACAGTACAGATTTTGGAAATAGTAGATTTAAGCTTCAAAGTAGAATCTGTGTAGTAACTAACTGGAAACACATTGAATTTTGAAACCACGATTTTCCAACAAACAAGTCAGTAAAAATAACACTTTCTTTAAAGAAACTCTGCTATGGTTTCTGACACAAATTGTTAGATTTCCGGCAGCATAAAAGATTATCTCAAGTGCACATCCATTGTATATAGTTTTAAAAGCACTCACTTTTTGTTTTCTCTGTTTTTGTTGTCAGGGATGATTGACTGTACAGGACAAGCCTCAATTGCTTTTTCTTCCTCAGTTTTACTGCTGAATTTAGAGATGGCTGGCTGGAACAGTGTAGCTTGGATCTTTGAAAAGAAAATAGGTAAAATAAGATGCCAAACTAAAGATTAACAGCCCAAATATTTCAACAGAAACGGTGGTCCTTTTGCCAGGCAGCTCATCAGTTTTGAAGTGACTGCAGATGAGTGTAGAACTGGCTCAATCCTTAAGCAAATTAATTATAGAAATCATGAACTCTAACGTAATTATCACCACATGGGAGATTTAAAAGGTCAAGTTTTTATTTCTACATCTTAACAATGCGAGTGTTGCAAAACACAAACGAATTTTTAAAAAAAACTAGCTTTTGGTTAGTTTTGTGAATAGACGATTACAAAAAAAAACAACTTTCAATGTTTAAAAATTGGTTTAATAATCTATCTGGAGTTAAATCAAAAAGGTAGCATGCAGAACTTGCTTTTTTAAAAAACACTCTTGATACTGATATGCAAGTGTTAAATATTCTCCCATAGATTTTAATTGAGTGTTTGTTCCATGAGCTTTTACAAATGTCTGATATCAAGAACATTTTCACATTTGAGCAGAGGCAGCAAGTTAAAGGCTGCATATTCAATTATATCACAGTGTCTACATGTAATTTTCCAGAAAGATGCTGAAAAGTACCGGCGTTTTAGAGGGTATGACAACTCCTAGCAGGGTTACAGAGAACAACAGTAGGAATATGTCAACCACCACTTTGGCAGACATCATAAGACAGAAGTCGAAGTGGGACTTCCTGGCCTGCACAGCTCAGTCCCATACCAGGTTTTACACTCAACTGATGCAACAAATGCATTTTAAAAAAACATGCAGTTATTGATTCTAATAAAGCAAATTCTGAAAAAGCCAGTACCTGTTTGGCTTTTGGTTTTGAGATCAGAGGTTTTAGAACCAGTGACTTCTCATCATTTGCAGATTGGCTGTTGTTAGTTGATGATTTCTTATTAATTTTAACCATGCTATCTAGAATATTGGTGTTACGAGCTTGACTTCCAACCAACGCAGGGGATATTCCACCAGATGTTACCTGAGAAGGAGAAAACATTTTAGCTAAGTAAATAAAATGGTATATTAAGGTTTACAAAAGTAAAGGCTGAGGGATCCTGGAAATTTGAAACAGAAACAGAAAATTTTGGAAATCTCAGATTTGGTAGCTTCTGTGGAGAGAGGAACAGAGTTAGGTTTTGAGGTCTATGACTTTTCACCAAAACAGAGGAAAGGTGAGAACAGAAACATTAACTCTGTTCTTCTTTCCACAGAAACTGCCAAATCTGCTGATTTTATTAGTGTTTAAAAAGATTAAAACAAAGCACTATGTAACTTACATATAAAGTGGTAAGACACAACAACTGAACAAAGCTGGGACTGAGTTTCTTGTGGAGCATTTTGTTAATTGAGCAATCCAAAGTAAGAATAAATAATTGGAGGAGACCTGGTTTCAGTGGAGCAAGAACAGAGAAAAAAACTATAGGTGAGCAATGGCTACCTTCAAAGAAGAGATGATTTTGGTACAGACAAGGTACACACCCTCAAAAAGGAAAGGAAGGGTAAACAAATCTAGAGCTTCCGGGATGAAAAAGAAGATAGAAATAAAGGAAAGTGCACTTTTGACAATTCTCGGGGAGAGAACATAACTAAGAACCATGAGGAATACTGAAGTTTGAGAGGAGAGATGGAAAAACATATTAGAAAAGTAAAAAGACATTATGAGAAAAGACTGGCAACCAACATAAAAAGTTCTATAGGAACATCAGAGGCAAAAGAATGGTAAAAATGAAGGGTAGGGCTGATTCTGGACCAAAAAGGGAATTTACACATTAAGACAAGAGGCACGGCTGAAGTTAAATGAACAATTTGGATCCATCTTTGCCAAGTAAGTAGATGCTACCTCTTGGTGACAACAGAAAGAAGTTCCGTCACTAGAAAGGCTCAAAATTAAATCAGGAAGAAGCATTGCAATATATAATAAGGGAAGTTTAATAAATGATCTGAGTAAAAGACCCCCTTAATTAACAGTGATTATAATATGGTAGAATTTAACTTTCAGCTTGAGTAAGAGAAACTTGGGTGTGAAGAAAAGATGGTTGAGAAACAATAGCAGTTCATGGTTCACAACAATGATATATTCCAGTGAAGAACAAAGATTATAGGAAGGAGATAAATCGATTACAGTTAACCAGGAAAGTTAAGGATGTTATCAAACCGAAAGGAAAAAAAACATAAAACGTGGCAATGATTAGCAGTAAAGCAGAGGTTTGGAAAAGTTTTAATATCCAAAAAAAAAAATGACAAAAGAAGAGGGAGAAAATAAACTATATCAGCAAACTGGCATAGTAACATAAAAATGGACAACAAGAGCTTCCTTAGGAATATATTAAAAGAAACAGTGGTCACAGTGAACATAAGCCCCTTATTGAATGAGGCTAGGAAATAATAATGGACAGGCCGGAAATAACGGAATAAATATCTTGCATCTTCACAGTAAAGGACATTAATAGACATCCAAAAGTATTAAATAATCAAGGGCTAAAGGAGCCAGGAAATAAATACAATAACAAATCACTAGAGAAGATATACTAGGAAAACTAATGGAGCTAAAGGTCGGCAAGTCCCCTAAACCTGAAGAGTTGCAACCAGGATTTTAAAAGAAAGCAGCTCAGAGATAATGGATGCACTGGTAGCAATCTTTTAAGAATCCCTAGGTTCTGGGAAATCCCCAAAGGAGTGGAAATTTGCCAATATAGCACCCTTACTCAAAAGGGAAGGAAACAAAACAGGTGATTGTATTACTCTAATATCTGTTGTTGGGAAAACAAAACAGTCCATTATAAAGAATACAATAAAACTGCATGTACAAGTACATAATCGAGCAGAGTCTGCATAACTTTGTGATGGCAAAATCAAGTGCATCAAATTTATTAACAAGGTGAATACATAAAAAGTGAAACAAGTAGATTTTTTGTACTAGGAGATTTCCAAAAGACATCCAATAAGAGACTTTACATAGGGCTGCTTGGCTAACTAGTACAAGTGAGAGATTTGTGATAAGGGGGGCATTTTCAGGCATAGTGGCTGTGGCATAGGTTATTTACAATGCCACAATTATTTACAATGTATATTGTTGACTTCAACGAGGGAAGCAAAAGTCTGCAGATATTGAGAATAGGTGGCTGTAGAGGATGGTCATTAAGTATATTCAAGGCTGAGATAGAAAGCTAATCAGTAAGAGAATCAAGGGTTATGGGGTTAAAGTAAGAAAGTGAAGTTGAGGGTTATAGTTCAGCCATGCCCTCAATGAATGGCGAAATTTGATGGGCCAAATGGCTTACTTCTGGCCCAACATCATATTGTTGGATAGGCTATTGATCACTGGGACCAGATGAGATGCATATAAGGAAGTGAAAAGACCATAATCTTTCAGTTTTCCTTTAGTTCGGAGGTACAACAGGATTGGAAAATTTAAGACATTTTGCCCTTGTTTAAAGTAGAATAAGTCCACCAATTACAGACTGGACAACGTTCACTGACTGGTGGGGAAGTTTCTACAATTATTCGGGATCTATTCAGTAGTCACATGGAAAAAGCTGATTTTTTTACAGGAAGAATCAGCATGCATTTCTAAAGGAAAAATAATCTTTAACTAACTTGGAAGTTTTTTTTATATGAATTAACAGAAAGATTCAGTGAGCTAATGTTGTTGATATGGTGTACGTGGATTTTAAAAAAAAACAATAAATTTGAGAGAGAAGTTATAGTTCATGGTACAAAAGGGAGTAGCAGCAATGTGGATCCAAAATTAGCTGAACAATAGGAAACAGAAGGTAGTGATGAATGGATACATTTTTAGGCTGCAGCAAGGTTTGTCCTGGAAATTGCCGGGGTCAGCACTGGGGCTTTTGCTTTTCCTGATATATATTAGTGATCTAATGAGCCTCAAGTTCAAAGCTCAGGATAATTTGAAACTTGGAAACATAGTAAAATATCAAAATGGTGTAGAATTCCAAAAGGATGTAGACAAGTTGGTGAAGTGGACAGAAAAGTGGCAGATGAAGTTCAATGCAGAGGTATAAGCTGATGCATTTTAATAAAAGGAGCATGGATGGACAATAAAAATATAGGGGATACAGGAGTAGAGGGACTTTAGTATATGTGTGCATAGATCATTACGAGGAGCATGGAGAAGATGGATCTTTTCCTCTTGATGGTGGGATCAAAGACTGGGCACAGATTCAAGGTAAGGGGCAGGAGGATTAAAAGGGATGAGAAGAATTATTTTTCCCCCCACATAGCAGGTAGTAGGACTCAAATTCACTGCCTGCAATGGTGGTAGATGCAGAAACCTTCATAATATTATAAAGCACTTAGATGTACTTTTACAATGGCAATGCATACAGGTTATGGGCTAAGTGCTGGAAAATGAAATTAGAATTGAGAGGTGATTGTTTTTGGCTGGCATAGATTCGATAGGCCAAAGGGGTTTTATCTGAGGTACAGACCTCTAATGACTCGGGTATTGAAGGTGGCAGGATAGTTGGAGAGAACAGTCAATAAAGCATATACTAACATGGGATATACTAACACGGACATAGGGCATAAAGGAACAAGGAGTTTAAGCTGAATTACAAAAGGTACTTGTTAGACCTCAGTTAGGGCAGTGTCTATAGTTCTGGGTGCCACACAGGAGGTGAACCAGCTGGACAGTGTGAAGAAGTGATTTACAAGAACGGTTTCAGGGATGAAAAACTTCATTTAGGAAGATAAATTGGACAGATTGGAACTATTTCTCTTGGAGCGAAGGTTGAGGAGTTTTAATCCTAAGAGGTCTTCAGAGTAGATAGAGAGAAACTGCTCCCACGAATAAAAGGATCAAAAACAAGAGGGTACAGATTTCAAGTGATTTGCAAATGTAATGGGAGAAAAAAATCTCTCACACGAGTCGTCCAGATCTGGAATGGACTGCCTGGAAGTGTGGTGGGAGCAGAGTCAATGGGGGTGCAGAGGAGAAGACTAAATGGTGGAGGGAGAGCGTACACGGGACAGCGGTCGGTAGATTAAATAGAGGGTCAAGTCAGTGATGAAGGAAAGACTGTACACAGGGCTGTCGCAGGGGATTTAAATAGGGGGTACAGTCCATGTTGTGGAGAGTGTACATGGAGCTGTGGGAGGGGATTAAATGGGGTGGCATTCAAAAGAATATAGGATGATCGTCTCAACAGAACCAATGTGCAAGGGTATGGAAAAAAGGCAGATGAATGGCCCTAAGTCATCATGCTCATTGGAGATCCAATGCAGATACAGTAGGCCGAATCGCCTTCTTCTGCACCGTAACAACTTTGTGATTCTATGAACACCCGAGTACCAAACATTTGACTACTAGTTAAAAATATCAGTTCTTGTTGACTGTGTATTACTGTTTTAATCACTACAGCAGAAATTATATTAAAAGATGACAATTTGGACCAACGATACACTTCCATCTATTTGACAATAAAAATTGTTTAATAGACAGTATACTTACCATCTGCAACAATTCAATAATATCCACTTGTTGATTTTTCCTATCATATTGAACGTGGGGGAACATTTGTAATTCCTCTCATTGTGGGTGCTAAAGATGTCCTTTGAGTTTCAAAATTGTGCTAAATTTTTTCAGGGGCAGGGTGAATTGGGGAATTACTTTGAATGCTAAATTGATGACTGCGTTGTATACATGTAGTGAATATCTCCTGGAATTATGCAGAGCAGAAAGACCACAATATCAAATCATCAGGCATTGGCAATTTGATTCAGAGTTAATGCTGCAGCTCTCTTCACCTAACCAAGTTAAAAACTTCATTCAGGAGCAGGACAGCCCTCACCAATGCCACTTAAGTGAATTAGCATCAACTTTTTAAAAATGTGGTGATGGGATAGGGTGTCAGGGGTAAGGCCAGCATTTATTGTCACCATCTCAAAGGCAATTGAGATGGCCAATGAGCTGTTTCTTGAACTGATGCAGTCCACATGGATTTCCTATGCCAACATTACTTTTGAGGAGCAAATTCTATGGTTTTGACTCAGTCATTATAGAGAAACCACAACATATTTCCAAGTCACATCTTATCCTGACTTGGAGGGTAAGTACCATTCGGTTACATACTGACAGGCTACTGCTTTTCTCCTTCCAGTTCATGGACATTTGATGCTTGATACTTTAGTTACTGATTGATTTCTCCTGTCTGTTGCTACAAAACACAAATATTTGGGGTGTTTTTTAAAAAGTAGCTTCAAGTTTCACACATCTATGGAAATTGACGTGGACATTTTACTGACTTCAAATCAGCTGCTTTTTGATTTGATTTATTGTTGTCACATGTACCTAAGTACAGTGAGAAGTTTTGTTGTGCAAGCAGTACAGGCAGATCATAGCAAATTGGACATACAGGTCATAAGTGCTTAGACAGAGAGAGGCATACAAAATTATGGTTGCACAGGAGGTGCACAAAGCAAGATCAACATCAGGTTTGAAACTAGAGAGGTCCATTCAGCTGTCTAATAAATGCAGGGAAGAAGCCGTTCTTGAACCTGTTGGTGCCATGTGTTCAAGCTTCTTTATCTTCTGCCTGACGGAAGAGGTTGGAACAAAGTATTACTGGGGTGGTCTTTGATGATGTTGGCTGTGTTTCCGCAGCAACAAGTGTAAATAGAGTCCATGGATGGGAGGTTGGCTTCCGTGATGGCTCCCAGCCACAGATCCACAAGCGGGCATGCCACTTGTAATACAGCACTTGGAGTATAAACCAAGACCATAGAGCTGGGACAAGTTGCTGGAGAAAGGGAAAGAAGGGAAGGGAAGGGTTCTCAGCAGTAGGGTCTTCACCGAGAAATTATTCTACTGAATCACATGAGAAACAAAGAAAGAAATGTTTGGGCTTCAGTAATGAACCATTGTGGACCAATATGAATTACACTGCAGTTTATTTCTCTTCTCGCTTTCTTTCAAGAAGAAGCTTCCATTAAAAAAAAAAGTCTTTTTGCTTTATTTTCTGGATGGTCAAATTGTGTTGTGAGACCAGAACCATACACCAAATCAAATTACTTTGTGGATACCAGATTGGTTTTGGAAGAAAACAATGCACGTAAATAATTATTAGTTCACGGGACAGATGAAACTTCATAACCACAAAAGCTTTGATCATTTCTTACCTTAAAGGGATTGGCACGTGCAAGCATGCTGTTTGTAAGAGTTACTATTGACAAGGAAGATATAATATTACAAAATCAGAATTTGCACCTTAAGTCCAATGCTAGTTTTCAATTTCACTAATAAATGAAAAGACTGTTCCATTGTATATTAAAGTTTTGACAAAGATCTGTAGCTCGGGTTGTGGATGAGGTTGTTGACTTGCTCACTGAGCTGACTTGTTTTTGTTCAGAGGTTTCGTCACCATGCTAGGTGACGTCATCGGTGGAGCGATGGAATTTACTCTGCTTGGAATTTATACTGTCCAGTCCGTTATGGTGGGTAGCGTCATTTCCAGTTTTGATCTGTATGGGTTTGTATATGGGGTCCAATTCTATATGTTTGTTGATTGAATCATGAGTGGAGAACCATGCCTCTAGGAATTCCCGTACGTGTCTATGTTTGGCTTGGGCTACTATGGTTACTTTGTCCCAGTTAAACTGATGGCCTTCATTGTCTGAATGTATGAATATTAAAGGAGATTTCATTGTGCCATTTTGCTGCTAGTTGATGTTCGTGTATTCTGATGGCTAGTTTCCTTCCTGTCTGTCCAATGTAATATTTGTGGTAGTCGTTGCGGTTTACAAAATACCATGCGTTCGTTCTGTATGTTGTGGGAATGGGGTCTTTAATCCTTGTAAGCGTTTGTCGTAGAGTGGCTGTGGGCTTGTGGGCCACCATGATTCTAGTGGTCTTAGGAGTCTTGTTGTCAGTTCCGATATGTTCTTGATGTATGGCAGTGTGTTAGGTCATACTGTGTCCTCCTATTTTGAAGGCATCCGTGGATGAAGTTGCGGGGATATCCATTTAAAGCGAGGATCCTGTATAAGTGTTCTTCCTCTTTCCGGCGTAGTTCTGGCCCATTTAAATAGTGCCCTAATGCAGCTTTGTTTGTGGATGTTGGGATGGTTGCTGTGGAAGCTGAGGATTTGATCCGTATGCATTGCTTTTCTGTATACTGAGGTTTGGAACTCCTCGTGTCAATCGCTCTATTTTAACATCCAGAAACGGAAGTTGACTGTTGTTTTCTTCTTCCCTTGTGAATTTAATCCCTGTGAATACGCTGCGGAGTAGAATAACATCGCTTCATTGGAGGCTCCACTGATGATGTCACCTAGCATGGTGACAAAACGTCTGAACGAAAACAAGCCAGCTTGGCGAGCAAGTCAACACCTCATTGTATATTAAAATTTATATCAATGACAACATTTAAAAAGGAAGCAATCCTGAATTAATCATCTCGTTTCAGTTTGTGATGAATGTAATTTTCACTATTAGACAACCAATCAGTTGATTCAATGCAAATGAATATGATAAAATATGCATATGCTGTGCAAACTCATTACGTTAAATGCTGTGTTGGCTTTTAACTGAAAACTATGAAAATTAAAGTCAGTATACTACTTTATCACTCTTAAGTGGACAAAGTAACATGCATAATTAATATACATCAAAGACAAACTATTCTCACTTGTAGTTCACAAAAAGCATAACTTGGCATTACATACCTGATTTTGGAGTTATTTGTTCCACAGAACCAAGATTTTTACCAAATGGATTTAACCCTGCAGCAAGAAGGACAGTCTTAATAAATACTCAATGCAACAAAGTTGTTTTCTGCAGGTATTGGATTATCTTTAAAAACACATTACCAGCACAAAAAAAAACAGAAGTTATTTTTTGGAAAGTGCAGAAATTACACATCAGTATTTATCTGTACAAACATTTTCTTCTATTTATTTACTTCAAAGTTCTGAAACCAGATATCAAATGGACCAGGTTTCGTTTAAGCATGAAAGAAGAAAAAGTGATGGAGTGAAAGACATGCAGCTACAGGAACAGAAGCACAATATTTGTTTCATTTCACATCTTGTGCAAATAATTTCATATCAGAGTAATGAATAAAAATCTAGCCTTATACTTGGTTTAAACATAAACATATAAAATTCATCTAAAATAAATTTCAAAAGAGGAATATTTACCCAAACTTACTTTTCTTTTCATGAACTGTTTCCTCAGGATCCAACTCATTGTTACCATCTTCTTCTGCATTATTCTGAACATCTTCCTCATATTCTTCTTCCTTTTCAATAGATTTTTGAGCTGGAAGTTGCACATGTGGTGAACTCCATTTGTTTATTGTTCTTCTATAGCTGCTTGAAGAAGACAGTTTCAATAACCAGCAAAATTTAGACCATTAACTTCTACATCCTGAAATGCTTAAATTAAACAAGCCTGCTTTTGCACACAAAGTTTCAGCGCAAATGCAAAAACAAACATTGTAGTTGGTTTCTGAAATTACTTGCAATTTCTTCATTTATTTGGTTGAAATCAGTTGAAAGCAACATGAAATAGTTGATCAAATGAATTTAATGAGCATTTAACAATGTAATTTATTGGATTTAAGATCAAATATTAAAAAAAAGTGTAAAAAGGCCAAATTCTAAAGTGCCACTTTCATCCTAGAGGTTCTCCGACTTGAATCCAGCTCCTGTTTCAGAAGAGGATGTTGCATCACTAGTCATGGACACTGAAGTGCGTTTCAAAATAAACCACAGAATTGAGATTCCAATCTCTCCACAAAAAAGTTCAACATAACTTAACTCTGACCAGTAAAAGTCAAAATTTCGGAAAGGAAAGGATAAGACGTAGTTTTTACTGTTGCACACTTGCAGAAATGAGAGACAAAACAACAAAATAATATTGGGTCATGCTTATGAATGTCAAAACCAACTAAAACGGAACTACTGAGAAATATGAAACTTGGACAGGCAGTGCATGAACAGCTGATCACAAATTTTGGTGAGATGTTTCAAAGTTCAAAAGGCTGATTAAATGGTATGGACAAGCTGGAATACCTTGGAAGTATTCACGTGAAGTAACATCACAACTGTGTATCTTGTAGTTTGAAATGTGTCAAATTGAGTGACAGTACAACCTGAAGCATACCACAAGCAATCCCCTGTTCTGTGTAATGCATGCAGCTTTGTTTTAGTATCACACAAACAATTTATGCGGTCTTGCGAAAAACATGACTTCAGTGGATACAATTGGTGAAATCATGTCAATACATTTTCAAATAGCTAATAATTTAGTGAAAATACAGGTAATGAGTAAATAGATATAGTCCACAAAGGACCACAGGCATCTATCTCCACGGGAGATAGACAACAATTATATAACTTGATGGGCACCCCTCCACATCAAGCATGGAGTAAGAAGACAAGTCTCCATGAATTACCGATGCAAGTGGAAATGAACCAGTGGTATTGGTGTCATTCTGTATCATATTCTAGCCATCTAGCCAAATGAGCCAACCAATACACGGCAATAACAAATTAACAAAAGTAGTAATACCTAGCCTTTGGATCAGCTTGAAAGTCATCTTTATCTTGTGCGGTCAACAATGCTGTAGCTTTCTCTTGTGCTAGGTTGCTAATGCGCTGGGCAAGAGTTAGACGTTTTGAACGTGAAGCATACTTGATGGCCAAATTTAAGACTTTCTGGGTCATAAATTCAGTGAGTTCTTCACAACGGAATTCACGTTCTACCCTGCACGACAGCTAAATGACAAATGGAATGTTAGTTTTCTTTCCAACTGTGCCTCAAATGAAAATGTGATGATACTGCTCACTTAATAAGTTATAAAAATTAATTCAAAAATATTTTTAAAAGTTTTAACAACGCACTCTATAGTAATGTAAGTAAATGCAAGGACTTTCCAGACACAAAAACATTAAGCTCTGGATGCTGGAAATCTGAGCTAAAGAAAATCTCTGAAATACTCAGCAGGTCTGGCAAACATTTTGGACTTTTCCAGCCAATGAACTTGTGACAAAAAATTCTGACAGCATTTCTAACATTGTTTATTTTTATTTCAGGACATTCTGGAGAAACTGGTTTCCACATTTAATACTTCTAGCAAGTGTAGGTGAATTATGTTATGAATATGATTGATAACCTTACGTTAGTAGTAAGTGTAGCTATTAGTGCACTCAGGATTGTCCAGTAAGTGTTTCCAAATCATGGAATTACAAGCACAGGCTAATTGAACAGCACTCCGCCTCTTTGAACAACTGAAGGAACTTGTTGTTCTGCCGAGCACACATTATGTATGAGTTTCAATGTTAGTGTAATGCCAGGTACACAAGTTGTACATCTCATTGACTGGATGATCAAACCAAACAGCACGAAATTTTAAATCTGATGATGCAATACATATTTCATATTGTAGTAAACAGGAGCATATAATGATAGTCCCATGATGTCCCCACTGCAGTATGCACTGAGTAGTTTTAATTCAATAGAAAGATATCCCATTTATTGCTTGGAAATATGATGGAAGTTTCAGTTTCAGTTTCAAGAAGACTAAACATTAAAGGTAAAAATATTCTGAAGAAGTAATGAATTTCTTTAATATTAACCAGTTTCTATGTGTATTCTGCAGGTGTCAGATGAACAAATTTTTCATTGTTACTAGCTAGATCAGCAGCTCAAATGTTGCGTTGTTTAAGAAAAGCAATAGGATGTTCAAATGGTATGCATCACCCTATCCAGTTGAGTATGCTGGCAGCATGTTAGCAACACCAACGTACATTTAAAATGTAACTACACTCAATCCCTTACTTCGTCTGGTGTTCACAGAACTCTCTCTTCAAAGACAGGAAGCAAAGGATGCATAAATAGCTGTTCAAGAGTATATAGAATTTACTCACAGCAAACATTTTCATTAGTAGTTCCTGCTGTTCCTTTAGTGCCTGGTGTTTCGTAGTTTCGTCAAATTCATAACCATTTTCTGCCAGATAGTCAAAGTGATTATGAAATAGCACTGATCGCCAGTATTGTTCCTGGGAAGATGGGAAAGAATTTAAATCACTCATGTTATACTGCCAACAAAATTGCAACAGAGGTTGATGGTCAACTAGCAATTACGTTGAATTGAACTATTTATAGAAATGCACTGAAACAAGCAAACAGGTTTACACATAATGAAATCCAGCCAGAATATTTATCCTTGAAATTGATTATTGTTTAGAGGGGTAAGTCTCAAATTATGTGTCTCCATTTCCCCACAATTACATGGTGTTAAAAGTTATAATACAGCACCTTCTTTCAACTTTAAGATTACAGGCAATAGTTTAAGCACAAAATGGTATTATTTGATTGTGGATAGTGTAAAGACAGTAGCTTTTCTGTATTTTGATTTTGGTCTGAAACGAGGAAAGGACTTTTGAAAGTGGTGTTTCAACTGCTGTTTGATCAAGCAGTGGAGAAAGGTTAGATACAGATGGGCTGGAACCAGGGGGTGTGTACAAGATGAGATTCAGCAGGCAACAGTTAGCTGATTAGTCTGTGGAATGGTAATTACTTATTGATGCCAACAACTATGCGGTTGACTCCTAGGTAGCTGAGGGGCTTGTAAGGATAAACAAAATGGCCAGAAGCCTTCAGACCTGTGGAAGGGGAGGTGGCACCTCCCTCTCTGCAGTAAAAAAACAACCCAAGGTCTGAAGAAAACCAATTTATTTTCCCTTCACCAGTTGTTATATCTGTAGTTTTTAACAATAATTAAGAGACTTTACAATTATCAATCAACCAGAGTATCCTGTTTTGCATACTTTCATGAATCTTTAACTTATGTGACAACTCCAGGAGTAGTGGGGATTGATTTCCAGTGTGCCATCCTGGTGAGGCATGATAACAAATGGCCTTTAAGAATCTCTGTGGCAATAGTGCTCATTTCTCATCATTTGAATGGTAAATTAATAGAGCCTGCTACCCACCAGTTACAGAACCTGCCAGATTTTAATTTATAAAATGTTCTTTACTCATCAGTTTTACCTCGATATGTTGATATAAAATGAAATCCAGCACCAGCCCCTCCCAACAGTGTTCAGAATCATCTTACTTGGAAGTAGGTTTCTTTGAAAAAAATACATCCACACAGAATTTCATAAAACAAATATACAAAATCTGCAGACACCACCAACGGCAAAATGTGATGTACTGTTCTCCTTCCAGTGTACATTCTGTCTGTTCATTCATTTTATTGTGCTTGTTTAAGAACTTTTTTGTTTAGAAAGGGTGTTTCATAAAGTGTGCATGTGTAGACCTTTTCACGTGTATGGTGGTGTTAGGAAGACCTGTCACCAAACAGTAATGAAAAAATGTTGCTTAATAAATGAATTGGAAGTTAAGTCAATTTTGAAATATTATATCCATAGTTTTGCAATTCTGAGCACATCAATTTAAGAAGTACTGCAACATTTGCTAAAAGCTTAAAAATGTATACTCAGATAAACAGCTCGACGCAGCTATCCACTCCAATTTTCCTTTGTTGCTTTTCAAAATTAATTCAGAAAATGCAAATCAGTTTTCAGCCTAAACTGGTAAATTTGTATCAATTCAATAAAGAAGCAGTCATGCACAAATTTGCATCAGAATCAATATGACAAATTCTCTTTAACGTGGCTCCTTACAGTTTGTATAAAAGCAAATAATTCATTTTTAATTTTATCCATTTTGAAATAAGCAATTATAATATCGTAAGTTTTGCAAAAAGTTAAAAAATTTGTTAAAAATTAAAGAAAAAGCAATGTTTGGGAAATATTTCAGGGCATTCATCAATGCAAAAGAACATACCACGTATCACATACCTCCATTTGTCCTTTTTCTGAACTAGTTTGACAATAAGGGAGCTTCAATGGTAGAACTGTTACAGTGGGGCGTGGAAGTGTAGGTGGAAATCTAGATCCTTTACATGGAATACATCTGTCAACAATAAAATTACATTTTAGTTCTCAGGAGTAAGACATATTAATCACAGTCAGTCTTGCCTATCTAGCTTTTCAATAAGCAGAATAAGACTTCTTTTAACTGCATTATCCAAGATAATGAAATATTGCCATGAAGAAATTCATGGGGTCAACCAGTTCTCCATAAATACAAACAGGGCATCATTTTAGTGTAATGTAAACAGATAACAGCAACTGAATCATTTGAGAGCGTTCATATGAGTCATACAAAGGCCGAGTGTATTTTGGAAAAAGTGCAGATATTTTTTAAACTATTAAGCTATTTCATAATGGATTCTTAACTACTGAAAAATTGTAAAATTGCAAATTCAGACTTTTCAAAAATTCCTTGAAATGAATTCAGGTTGTAGCAATATTGAACCTGGGACCACAGAATGATTAAAATATGACAAAAGTACACACTTTCAGACAATTATAAGAATGGCAATACGTGCAATCAAGTAGTCGTACTGATTATTAATGGTTCCATTTCACATACTATGTTAGGGCAATATACAGTGTATTGTACAGAAGGAGCTTCTCTTTTCAAAGTCCCTCGTGCATTTTCCATTTTTCAGCAATTAGCAACTTTAACTTTACAGCTGAAACCAGAGTAAGTTATGAAATATGGAATTTTTGAAACATAAAGGAAAATTAATTTATTGCTTTCAAAAAGTA